TGTGTGTGTGTGTGTGTGTGGATGCTGGGTGACTTACATTCATTCTGTTGTTTGCAAGAACTTAACCTCAGGCATGTGACATTACTGAGGATGCCAGGAGGAGGTCTTCTCGCAGACACCCCCGGATTCAACCAGCCGACGCTGTCATCTGTCACGAGCTCAGAGCTTTCAGAATGCTTTCCTGAAGTACGCATGAAGATCGAAGCCAGTGGCAGCTCTCGTTGCGCGTTTGCAAATTGTCTCCACGTTGGAGAGCCGGGATGTATCGTTGGCACCGACTGGGAGAGGTTCTCTCACTACTTGCAGATGCTGGACGAGGTAAGCGATTACCTCGCAACACTTTCAAGTGTACGCCTTTACGACACCCTTTTTCTTCCTGTTTCTGACCGAGTTTCATGCAAGTGTGCATCTGTTGTTCCCCCCCCCCCCACCCCCCCACCCCACCCCACCCGCTACTAAACGCCCTTTCAAGGCACAGGCTAGCTTACCAGTCAGAGTGACTCTCTTAGAGATCGAAGTAAAAGTTGCAGCCCAATTACCCGCAGTAAATAGCTAAGAGGGAGAGGTCCACTTGCAGAGCGAATAGCTATCAGGAAATAGTACTAAATATAGTAAGTAGCCCAAGTAGTAAATAGCCAAGAGATCAGCAAATGGCCATCAGGACATACCCAAGTGGTAAATAGCCATGCAGTAAATAGCAAAGTACTAAATAGCCTACCGTCTTGCCTACCGTCTTCACCCGAATAGAACGGCCGGTCATTATAGCCGTATTTGGGACAACTTTCAGTCCACATACAGTGATAACGATTAGGCGGCCTAATAGTATTCGGGTGAACACACGGTAGTAGTTTTTTTTTTTTGTTTTTTGTTTTTTGTTTGTGTGTGTGTGTGTGTGTGTGTGTGTGTGTGGAAATCTATTGGTGGGGAGCAGCAACGGTAGTACCGTAGTAGTAAATAGCAAAGTACTAAATAGCCTAGGAGTAAATAGCCTGGTAGTAAATAGCCAAGAGATCAAAGTAAAATTGCAGAGAGCAAATAGTCGTCAGTAACTACCGTCTTCACCCGAATAGAACACCCGGTCATTATAGCTGTATTTGACGCAGCTTTCAGTCCAGATAAGGCCATAATTACCGGGCTTTCTATTCGGGTGAAGACGGTAGCCAAGAGCTATGACCGCAGTTCAATCATGCTGCAATATTCAAACTTGAGAGAAGTGGCACTACGCATACGTCTCCTGTAGCCAACTTACCCAACTACCCCTCCTCATTCAGTATTTACTATTTAGTATTAGTATTTACTATTTACAGGTACGTCCATCTCTGTGACCCAGATCACCGCACAAACAAACAGATACGTACAGCAAGCACTTCGGCAGGCGAAATCGCACGGGCATACACATACATTCATCAGAAACAAGCCATTCATTCTCAAGGAAATGTCAGTCCAACTAGCCACATAGCCACATAGCCACATAGCCGTGCAGCAACTCATGGCCTCAACATGTGCACGAATCTACTCAACAAAAACTCGGATTCTCGGAGCAAATAGCCAACTGTCCAAATAGCCCTGTAGTCAGCCAAATAGCCAATCTAGCCAATCTAGCCAATCTAACCAATTTAGCCAATTTAGCCAATGGAGCCGAATAGCCAAATAGCCGATATAGTCAACATAGCCAAGAGAACAAATCAAGCGTAGTAAAAAGCCACAACAAGACACCAAGCAGAGAAAAGGCATGCATTGCATACACACGCAACAACTTGAAAAAGTAGGGCCTGGAGTCACGGGTGCGGCTATTTGGCTATTTAAAAAGCTCTGAAATTTGGCTATTTGAGTATTTGGCAATTTGGCTATTTGGCAATTTTTGGCTTTTGAGTTTTTGAGTTCGAGCTCTGAAATTTGTGAAGTTAAAAAACAGTCACGTTGAATAAAAAGCTGGGTTAGGCCGACGCCCAGTCCAGACGGACTGGGGGGGGTCCGTCCGGCAAAACCAGACGAGCCAAAGAACATGCCAGGATTTTTTTTTTTTTTTTGAAGATGGGGTTGGACTGCGCTTGCTGAGAGGAGCCGAAAT